TACTTATATCCCGCAGCGTACGTACTATTTTCACCCGCATTTTACAGATGAGGAGACTGAGGGTGAAGAGTTAGCAGCTGGCCCGGGGCCGTAGACCTAGTAAGTGGGGAGCCTGGAAATGACACGGCTTGTCTGACGTGAAGCATGTCCTGCAGCGGCAGCTTCGTGTTGCCCCAGCACCTATTGGCGGAGGGACGAATGAATGAATGAGTGAGTGAGTGAGTGAGTGAGTGCACTGCAGTCCCTCCAGAGAAGCCCTCTTTCTCTCTCCCTGTGGAGCATCTTAGCTCAGGCATCAGGAAAGCTGCCATCTGGAGGGTGAGCGGGCATTGGCCAGAGGAGACGGGTGGGGGGTGGGGGCAGGAAGAGTGTTCTTGGCAGAAGGAACAGCACGTGCGTGCGGAGGTCCTAGGGTAACAGGGACCTGGGGCAGCTGGGGACTTTCTGTGGAGTGCAGTGTAGCCCGCAGGTAGTGAAGGCGAGGCCAGAAGTGCAGGGATCTTATGAGGGGGAAGGGGTTCCAGGAGCATTTTAAGCGGGAGAGCAATGTGGCTGGATCTGCAGTTAGGTGACCGCTGTGTAGGGCCCAGGTGACCGTGGCTGGCACCAGGGAGGGGCAGAGGAGCCGAGTGAGGCTGTGGTTAAGATTCAGGGTTAGAATCTACTCTCAGAGGCTCTGCTTTTGATATTTCCCCCCATTTTTTAAAGAAAACCATTGCAAATTATCTCAGACATCCACAAAGGTATAAAGAAGACCATCCAGGTCCCCACCCAGGACGTTTGCAGCCAGCGGATGCTCCTCCAGGGCCTCCCCGCTCGCAGGCCCTGACCGCCCACCCCGAGAGGTGGTCACCAGTGCCCTGAACTCATGTTCTGTCTCCCGTGCATTTCTTCCTGCTTGTGCAAATGCGTGGTCTAGTTTAGAATCTTTGCAACTTTGTGCAAACGGTATCTGTTCTTTTGTAACTTGCTTTTTTTCTCAGTGTAATGATTAAACAAAAAGATTGATGGTTGAAGATGGAAAAGAGTGGGCTCCTTCAAGAGATATTTGAGCAGTCAGTAACAGTAATGATCGCCGACACATCGCACTTCATGCGCCAACTCTGCCCTCAGGGCATTAGATCTCTTAACTCATTTAATCCTCACTACAATGCTACGAGATAATGTTATTATTGTACCCTTTTTGCTGATGGGGAAACTGAGGCTCAGCAACCTTACGTAACGAGGTCACTGGGCCAGTGGAGCCGGGGTGTGAGCCGGGCAGACTCGCACCAGACTGGGGATGAGCGGATGGGGAGCTGAGACCCAGCCTACAGCGCTGCGCCAGCCTGCTCTCTTTCCAGCCTGCCCTGCTGCCCCGGGAGCCGGGCCCGGGGCTGTCCTGTGCAGGGGCAGCTGTGCAGACACAGGACCCTGACCCTGAAGTCCAGCGCCTTCCCTCTGCTCCCTGCAGGAAAGGAGCGGTCCCCACCTGGGGACAGGGTTACTGTGTCTCCCCACATCCTCCCAGCCTCAGAGTCACCCTGCCTGGGCAGGTCCCTCCTATCCGTGTCCCTCAGTGAAGCTGCCCCACAGCATGCCAGACCCTCCCAGCCTTCTTCTGGCCCCTACAACCTCTTCTCCTGGCCCTCAAGGCAGGCAGGTCGCCAGCACTGTGCCCACTTGGCAGACCAACAAATTGGGACCAGACTGTCAGGGTAGGGCCGAAGAGTGGGAACAGGTTCTGGAATCAGAAGGGCCTGGGCCGGGGTCCGGGCTTTGTGACTTCGCAGCTGTGTGACCTTAGGCAGGTGACTTCACCTCTCTGAGCATCAGTTCCCTCATCTGTAAAGTGGGCCTCCTTACTTCCCCAGGTTGTTGAGAGGGGTTGTGAAATGGTTGCACAGTGCTTCCTCAGTGCAGGACCTGGCACACAGTGCGTGACAAGGACAGCCGCCCCGTTAGCATCCTTATTCCTGAGTGCTAATGAGCCCAGCATGTTAGCGCTGAGCTGGACAGAACCCTGGGCTCTGGGCCCCATGTTCTTGCACCAGACCCCACTCCGGACTCCAGCACGACAGGCTGTGGGTTCCGAACCCCCGTTTTCCTGCCTCATCAGGAGCTGAGTGGGGGAGGCGGCATCATCATCTCCCCCACCGTCTTAGGCTGGGGGCCCACTTGGCACTGGGCTGGAAGCCCACGCGGCACAGCCTGCACCCGCGGCAGATGGGAGAGGCAGGGAGAGGCGTGTTCCTCTGATTCAGACATTGGGGCGGGGAGGGGGCCACACGCAGTCCGTGAGCCCACCTCCTCCCTGGCCTTCCTGTTGGCAGCAGGGCTGGTGGCTCTGACAAAAGAACAGCTTGTGCGCCCGCCTCCCTCAGCCCGCACGGTTTCTCCTCGCAACCGCGTCTGTGTCAGTAGCGCCCGCCATCCCCTTCCTTCCTGGCAGGTACTTCTCCCTCTGCTAGAGAGAGAGGCTCTGGCTCCAGAGGTATCAGCCTGGCCCAGCCCCATCACTGTAGAAAATTCAAAAGGACTTCTGCCTCAGTTTCCCCATCTGTGAAATGGGGACACTAAGTGTAGCAACCAAAACGAGTGGCTGTGAGGACTCATGAGTAAATACATGTAACGTGCTCAGGATGGGCCTGGCACACTGCCTCATTTGGCACAGTGGGAGGAGGGAAACCAAAGATGCAAAGGTGCTGGGGCCCAGAGACCCAGCCGCGGCCCTTCCAACCCTGAGGTGGAATGCACTCGATGAGCTAGTTGCCTCAGCCCAGGGTTTCCTGGACGTCCAGCCACCTCAAAGGCAGTGGGTGGCTGGCCTTGTCACTCCACAGGCCGTCTGTGGTCCAGGGGAGTTTCTTGAGGTAGTGAGCCCCCCATCAGCTGATGTATTCAAGCCTTGCAGTTTGCATTCTGCTTGTACAGTCCATGAGGCTTGTTACTGCCATTCTGCTGTCCTTCCGTCTTCCCCGGGGATGGAAGAGTGGGGCCACTTGTCCTTGTTTTACAAAAGGGGAAACTGAGGGTTTTAGTCCAGAGTCAGGATTTGTAGGCACCTGGGGAGTGAGAAGGAGCCCTCAGGACAGCGAAGGTGAGTGTAACAGGGGTGGGGCCCGGTGTCCTGAGCCGCTCACCGACCGGGCCTACCCACCTCACCTGGCCGCCACCCCAGCCTGGTGGCCCAGCAGGCATCCTCATGGATAAGCGACTGTGCCCTCTTATGTGGGACGTGGGGTGGATCAAGGCGGCCCTCTCTGGGCCAGGCTTGGGCTGCGCCCTTCCCCTTCATGCCATCGTTTAATCCTCACCACAGCCCTGCCAGCTGGGCATTCCAAGGCCCCTTTTTATAGATGAGGAAAAGTGACACCAGAGGGGTTAGCCCGCCTGCCTGCACTCTCCAGCTGGAGCCGCAGAACCGAGCCTCAGTCCCTCCAGCTCCTCAGCATGCAGTCACGTTACTGTCCGTGGTAGCACTGTCCATGTCCCTTGTCTTGGGCACCGAGCATGGCAGTGACAGTCTGCCCTCCCCACTCCCCAGCACTTTGAGGCTGGAGACACATTTATCCCCTCATTAAATGGCTAGAAAATGGGCTGAGAGAGGTTCAGGGACTTGCCCAATGTCACCCAGAGAATGGCCAGCAAGGCCAGGGCTGGGCCCGTGAGGCTGGAGAGGGTCTCCTGTGCTTGCCCATGGACGTCCCCACGGCTCAGGCACTCAGGGAATGCAGGGGGGGCTCTTGGTTCCTTTCTGCTTCTGGCTGGCTCTTCGGCATCTGGCACAGCACCCAGGCCGTGGTCACGGAACATGTGCTCAGTGGAGGAGCCTTGAGGACTCAGCGAGTGAGCTCAGGTCTGAGGCCAAGCCTGGGCGCAGGGCCCAGGGCAGGCGGGGCAGGAACTACCCGGGCCCCTGGGGAGGAAGCATCGGCCTGTCAGTGGGGAGCGGGGAGGAAGGAGGAAGCCAGGGGGACGGAGAAGGTCTGATTTGGCCCCTAGAATCTCACTGAATTATTAATTTCCTACTGATGTTCCCATGACGTGGCTGCCAGAGACTGCCCCCTCCCAGCGTCTGGACTTGTGGCCTCGCCTGCCTTCCTCCACTCCCGAAGGGGCTTCCTCCAACAGGGGAGGGGAAAGGAGAGGCCCCCCTACTGGCTCCTGCCCCAATTCTTCTGCCTACTGGGGGCTTAAGACGGGAAAAGGGGGATTCGAAATGCTTTGTCCTCTTTCTGGGCAGGCTGGGGGTGTCAGAGACCACTTAGGAACACTCTGCCCTAGACAGTAATTACATTAAACAGCCTCTGTTTCTTGGCACTTACCACTTAATCATCCCCACGGGCCTTCTAAATAGGTACAGTTGTCCTGTGTTGCATGTGAGGAAACATGGGGTTCAGAGAGGTGAAGGCCTTTGCCCAGGGTCACACAGCAGATTGGTTCCCAAGCCGGATTTGAACCCTAGGCTGTCTGACTCCAGAGTCTGTGATCTGAACCACCTGCTACCCTGGAATGGCCACACCACTGAAGCCCCTGGTTCATGCCCCTGGGTCTGCCCGGTGCCCACACCAAACCTTGCACCATCTTAGAGAAGCTTGGCGAGTGAACGAGCGAAGCCTAAGACGGTCCACTCCTCAAGGACCTGTCAGTGTACAGGCTTCTGGGTATGAGGGACTCGGGCCACGGCTCTCAACCCGACTGCATGTTAGAACCACTGGGAGCTTGCACAGTGCTCCACTGCCACTCCTCCACCCCACCCGCCCTGGGCTGCACTGTCCTTGAGGGAGGAGCCGGGCTGCTTGCAGCTGACCTTCATGCACCCGTCCTGGAAACAGCCTGCTGGGCACCCAGGACGGGTTTGTGGCCTGGAGTTGGTGTTGCCATCCCCATTTTGCATACGGGGAAGTTGCGGCTCACCTGGGGTTACTCAGGGGGGCAGTGGGCATCTCTGAGCCCAGGCGTCTTTCCTTCCTCCCTCTGAGTGACCTCACATGCCTCTTACTCTGCCCTGTGAGCAGCAGGAGCTCCCAGCACGTGTGAACTTCTCTGCTTCCCCGGCCCCTGCGCCCGCGGTGCCCACCGCCCTGCACTCCAAGATGGACGAGCTGGAGGGGCAGCTGCTGGCCAAGGTGCTGGCACTGGAGAAGGAGCGTGCGGCCCTCAGTCACAGCGGCCAGCGGCAGCGGCAAGAGGTGGAGAAGGAGCTGGACGCTCTGCAGGACCGTGTGGCTGAGCTGGAGCACGGTGGGTCCTGGGCCCGCAGAGGGTATAGCCGGAGAGGCCTCCGTCCTTAGATGGTTCCTTGGGGTGGCAGATTCACTGGGAAACATTGTCACGCTCTCCAGAGGCTGACGTTAGGCAGGATATGGGGAGGAGGCTGTGACACCCAAGAGGGACAGAATAACTGGGGGATGTCATCATCATTATTATTACAGTTAGCACTTTCTGGCGCTTACCATAATTATGTACGGGAGTGAGCTAAGTCCTTGACACAGCAGCTTGTTTACTCTTCACAAACTGCACAGGGATGGTCCTGTTATCATCCCCTTTTCACAGATGAGGAAGCTGACCCTCAGAGTCCCAAGACTGTCCTGTTCAAATCCCAGCTCTGCCACTTACTAGCTGTGTGGCCTAAATCTGTCTGTGCCAAGGTTTCCTCATCTGTAAACTGGGGGCTATAACAGTGGCTGCCTCATAGGGCTGTTCCAGAATGAACGAGCTGATGTACGCAGAGCACTTAGAACAGTGCCTGCCACACAGACAGCACTGCAGACTGCTTGCTACATGAATGGGCCAAGAACGCTAAAAATGATCGTAGCAATAGCTCACATTTCTTGAGCATTTACTATGGGCTAAACCCTTGCATAGCTTGTTCCTGGGAGGGAGGGAATAGTCCCCATGTTACTGGGGAAACTGAGGCCCAGAGAGGGTCAGTTAAACCTGTTGAAAGTCACGCGGCTGGGACGTCGTGGAGGTGGGACTTGAACTGAAGACGTCTCAGGTCCAGAGCCCTTGTGTTCTAGCCACGCCCCTCAATGCAGAGGCGAAGTAGAGAAAGCGGTGAAGGCACCTGTCACCGAGCAGGTGCCCAGGGACTAGCAGCCCTCATTCTGGAGTGTGCCCTGCTCACCTCACAATCATCAGTGTCCACTGACCCCCACATGTCCACCTTGTCCCCACCAGGGTCCTCGGCCTACAGCCCCCCGGACGCCTTCAAGATCAGCATCCCCATCCGCAACAACTACATGTACGCCCGCGTGCGGAAGGCGCTGCCCGAGCTCTATGCCTTCACCATCTGCGTGTGGCTGCGATCCAGGTCAGACGGCACTGGCCAGGGCACCCCCTTCTCCTACTCAGTGCCCGGGCAGGCCAACGAGATCGTGTTGCTGGAGGCGGGCCACGAGCCCATGGAACTGCTGATCAATGACAAGGTGAGCGGGGCCAGGCAGAGCAGGAGGGATCGGGGGCCGGGGACACCCTTCGGGAGCAGCTGCACTGTGCTGGGCCCCAAACACGTGGGCCCTTTCAGTTCTGCTCGGTGTTGTGAGTACACGTGAAAGACTGCTGTGTGCTGAGCTGGGTTCTAGGACTGCAAAGACAAGCAGACCTGGGGCTGCCTGAAGAGGGGCTGTGTCCAGAAGAGGCCGTCGGGGGTGCTGTTCCCATGTACAGGGGAGACACGAGGCCCGCAGAGACTGACTGCCCCAGGAAGTGTCTGCCCCCAGGGCCCTGCTCATTCTCTTGGACAAAGAGAGAAGGAAATGAGGTCCAAAGACCGACCTGGGGAGGGAGGGAGGGAAGTGGGTTCCCTTGCCCTCCTCTGCCCCTGCCCTCCTCCCTCCCCCGCGGCCAGCCCTTTGCCCCACCCCTCACGTGGAGAGCAGAAAGGAGCCATGGTCAGGCTCTGGACCTGAAGGCTGGGTCTGAATCCTGGTTCTGCCTCTTACCCACTGTGTGACCTTAGACTAGTCACTCACCCTCCCCGTGCCTCAGTTTCCTCATCTGTAAAGCAGGAATGATAATAGTCTCTACCTTAGAGGGTTGTGGTGAGAAGTAAGTGGCTTAAATACTTGTCAAGGGCTTTGAGCAAAGTCTCACATTTAGCAAGCCTCGACAGATGTGAGCTGTTTTTATTGTCCCAGGCCTTGTGCTAATAAGTACTTTACTCACATTATCACCTTTGACCCTCTCAAAAGCACTGGGAGGTAGATACCCTATTATCCCCATTTTGCAGATGGAAAAGCTGAGACTCAGAGATGGCAAATAATGCACCCTGGTCACAGCTGGTGAAGGGGTGATGATGTGATTTGGGGCCTTGGGCCCCAGAAAGCACCTCTTAACCCCTCCACTGTTCTGCCCTTGGGCCATCCATCTTCCCCATGCCTGGGCCTCCCACCCTCCACCCCTCCCCCAGCCTGGCTGCAGAGCAGAACAGGGACCAGCCTTGGGTAGGGGGAGTGATGTTGCAGGGGTATAGTGATGGAGGGGGGAGGCAGGGAGCATCTTATTAGCCACTCCCCCCAAGTATCCTGGCTCCCACAGTGCTTTGGGTCTTGCAGGCATGGTGGTCTTCTGAGACTCCCTGGAAATGCAGACACCACATATGGCACCCACTTGTGACCAGCCCATAGCCACAGAGAGCTGCTAGGAGAGGTTGACACCCATCAAAATCCTGCTCAGCAGGAGGTGCCTGTCATGGGTCTCCTGGAGGAGGAGGAGGGAGATGAGCCCACGGGGCGGTGAATTTCTCTCATGGCCCAATAGGTTCTACGAAGATTGGGGTAGCTGGACGACATCTAGATCCTACTGCTCTGTTCCCTTTCTACACACCCTGGCCGCCGTCCTTGGCTCTGCCCATGGTCAGCCCTCAGTTCTTAGTAGGAGGGATTCAGCACCCTGGACAGAGCCCAGGGCAGCCCTATTCCAGAACCTCCTTTGAGCACCAACCTCGCAGGCTGCTTACAGTTCCTCTTTTATTCCAACCTCTAAGCCTTTGCTCCTGCTGTGCCCCCTACTTGGTTTGCCTTGCAGTGGAATGCTCGGAGTCCACTGTCCTTCCAGATGTGCTTAGACTCCATTTTTCTGTTCCCACACCCCTCTTCCTCTGCATCTTCACAACCTCTGTACCTCCTCTATGACCCCTGTTATTTTGTCTTGTAATATTGTCCCTGAAGTCCTTCCCTCCTGTGCAGACCCAGCTCATTTACGGCTGGGACCAGAATCCTTATCCCCAGCGTCCAGAACAAGGCCTGGCACCAAGTAGGCCTCAGAGAATGTTGCATTAAACTGTGATCTCAGAGAACTGAGGAGATGAAAGAACCCTTTGGGAGCCCCAACTCCACAGGCAGCAAATACCTTTCATCTCACAGGCCAACTCTAATCAATCAGCAGTGGCCTCTGAGAGCACTGTGATGAGAAAGATTCTGAGGCTGAGTCTAGGCTCATGATTGATTAGTCATGTCTGCCTTGGGTGGAGGAGGTGGAGGTGGCTGCATATTTTCTATCCCATGCCTGACGTCCTCACTTTACAGATGAGGAAGCCAAGGCCCAGGAGGAAAGAGCAGTCTTCCCAAGGTCCCACAGGGGGTTGTTGGCAGAGCTCAGGCCACACGCTGGTGCCCAGTCTCTGAGTCCAGGGCTTGTGCCACCACTGTCAGTGCTTCTTGAATCTAGCTGTGTGCCGGGCACTGTGTGAGGTGTTCAGGGGCAGCTGGGATCGTGAGATGCTGCTCCTGCCCCACATGACCTCACAAGCCTGTTAGAGAGTGAATAGACTACCTGCGAACACCAACACTGCACAGTCCCCTGTGATCTGAGTGAAGCTGCCTGGTGAGGTCACGGGGAAAGAGGAAAGAGTGTCGGAAGGATGCTGGGCTGGGAGGAATGGGAGGTCAAGCCTGGGTCAGTCCCAGGAAGGAAGGACATGGTTCTCTTGGGCCCCCACCCCACTGCTCCAGCCTTGGGCCTTGTGGCACCTCTGACCTGTGGCTTGGGGACCTATGTTCAGGTGGCCCAGCTGCCCTTGAGCCTGAAGGACAATAGCTGGCACCACATCTGTATCGCCTGGACCACGAGGGATGGCCTGTGGTCTGCCTACCAGGATGGGGAGCTGCGGGGCTCCGGTGAGAATCTGGCGGCCTGGCACCCCATCAAGCCTCATGGGATCCTTATCCTTGGCCAGGAGCAGGTAAGGCTCAGGGTGATTTCGGGGCTTGAGACCCAAATAGATATCCTACCCACCCACGGCCCCTGAGGAGGAGGGCCTAGGTGGAGGGACCCTGAAAGCACAGCAGTGATCACTCAGTCTGAACCAGCCCTTCTGCAGATGGGCAGAGTGAGACCCAGAGAGAGCAGAGACCTGCCCAATGGGCTGGAACCTTGGGGCGGGACCAGAACTTTGGGGCGGGCCTTGGAACCTTGGGGTGGGGCTTCATCAGGGACAGAGACCTGACTCTGAGTCTGCCTGTCTTTTCTGCTCCTCACTCCATGTCTCTCTCCTTTCTCTCTGCTCTCTTGGCCCAGGATACCCTGGGGGGCCGGTTTGATGCCACCCAGGCCTTCGTGGGTGACATTGCCCAGTTTAACCTGTGGGACCACGCCCTGACACCTGCCCAGGTCCTGGGCATTGCCAACTGTACCGGGCCACTGCTGGGCAACGTCCTCCCCTGGGAAGACAAGCTGGTAGAGGCCTTCGGGGGTGCAACAAAGTCCGCCTTCGATGTCTGCAAGGGGAGGGCCAAGGCATGAGGGGCCACCTCGCCCAGGGCCCCTCTCTTGCCTGCCAACTCGGGGACCTTATGGGGGGCGGGGGTATATTCCCTCCTCAGCCTACCCACACCCTGGCCTCCCTTCCTGCCCTACTCCTGGCCATGCCTCCCATTTCCCCAGCCATACCCACATCTCCAGAATGCCCCGCCCTGCAATGGCTGTTCCCTAATCCCACTTGGATGGGGACAAGCAACTCAAGTCAACGGGTCAAGCCTGGGATGAGTCCAGGGCCTGGCAGGGGCTGGGTAGCAGTGCCCACAGCCTGGCATTACACTGGAGCCCTCTCTTACCCCACCCCACCCTGTCCCATCAACCACATCTGATTCCACTGATCTCGACAGCATTCCCCATGGGGTTGTGTATGGGGGAAGCACCCACTATCTCAACAGCAGGGTGGCTGTCCACCCCCCTGACCCCCATGCACCAAGCCTGACCCCTTCCCCTTCAGGGCCACAACAGGCTGTAGAGCCATCGCCCCAGCTGGGAAGGCGATGACGGAGATCTGGGAGCCTCAGACTCCCCCGTCCGCCCTCGTTCCACCAGCTGCCAGTCAAGGCAGCGGGATATTGATGGAGCCTCTCCGCTCTCGCCCTGCCCTGTACCCACACCCACACCCTCCCTCTGCGTCCTCTTGCCTTGTTTTTTTGTGTGCAGTGGTCTGAATATTGGTCCTATGCCTGGCCCAGCCCCACCTCAATTTCCAGGACATTCCCTTTCCAGTTCCAGCCTGGAGGGTTAGGGACCACAACCCCCAGAGGCCAAAGGGCCATAGTCACCCCTGTGGCCACCCACAGCTGTGCCCACTGGCATGGTCACCTCTCCCTCTCTGCACCCAGGACGGGGCCTGGGCCACTATAGCCTGGGCTGGGAGCAGCTTGAGGCAGAGGCCCGGTGCCCCAGGGGATCAAGCTCCAGCAGAGCCACATTACCTACCCCGCCTCTGCATGGCCCTGCCGCCTCTGGGGAAGGAAGGAAGAAGCTGAGAGGGCGGGGAGGAGCCCGGGGTGATGGGCAGAGCACTGGATGAGGAGGAGGAGCCCTTGGTTCCCAGCCAGCCCTGCTGCTAACCTGCTGTGTGGCCTTCTATAAGTCTCTGCCCTCTCTGGGCTGGCCTTCCTCATTTGTGAGCTGAGGCCCTTGCTTTCGTCATTTCTGACAGCTCTCCAGATCAACCGTGAGATGGTCTGTGATTCCAGGTGGATTGGGGGTGGGGGGAGCCAAGCCTGAGAACCTGCCTAGTGACTGAGGGGCAGAGCAGGAGCAGCTCCTAGGACCAGGCAGCGCGTGGGATCTGGCTAGGCGTGAGTTAGGGTCAGCAGCTGGCTCCGGAGAGTCAGGGGCGAGGGCACAGGTCAAGGCAGAGCAACCTCACGCACAGATCGTAAAAGCCAGCTCTTCTGGGTCCCCTCAGACAGGCACCGCCGCCTGTCTGAGAGTGTCTCAAAGGGCTGGTGGCTTCCTGGTCCCACCCTTGAATCCTCACCAGCTCCCCCAAGAGAGTGGAAGAATGTTAAAGCTGAGAAGAGCCACCCAATCTGACCCCTTGCTTGTATATAAAAGGGGAAGAACTCAGAGAGGGCAAGTGACTTGCACAGGATCACACAGCACAATGAGGCAGAACCAGAACTAGAACCCAGTGCTTCTGACTCCCTCTTCAGTGCTCTTCCCCCCACACCATACTGCCTGCCCATGAGGGTCTTTGAGTCTAGCCCACACCTAAGAGGATGGACATCTGAGAGGTCAGAATCCTTTCCCACATGACCGCTGGAACATCTTTGTGAAACACCAAACATCTTGGCATCTTCCCCCAGGAGGTAGCTGGAGGAGAGGTGTGCTCCAGGGCCCTCTGACACGAATGGAGAGCTGAGGATGCAGGTGACCTACCCGGTGTCCAGGCAGCTGCAGGCTACCTGACTCAGTGGGCACTGGTGCTTTTGCCCCCCTCTTGTTCCCAGTCCCCACTCTCCAGGCCACTTAGCCTGAGGCTGAGGCAAGAGCCGCAGGCTGTGGGCCCAGCGCAGTGCCCTGGAGGCTTCTCCGAGACCTGTTGCCTCCAGCCCCCAGATCCTTGTTTCCACTTCAAGAGCACAAGCAGACCGTTCAGCCCCTCCGGCCCGACTCCCCCCAGAAGAAGGAGCGATGGCGTGCTTCAGCCGGAACCTGCGGAGATCCAGGTTGCCCTGGTAACCGCCGATGACATCAGCCCCAGTGCTGGGTCAAGCGTCTCGTAATGACATATGCTGTTGCTGGGTGACGGCGGAATTCAGAACTTAGATTTGGGGATGCTGGGCTTTCTTGGGTTGCTGTTACTGTTTTTAAGGAAGCAGTTTTGGTGGAGGCCTTGGGGTAAGGAAAGGGTCTTAGAAGGGAGGGAACGGAACTTGTCTGACCCCTTGAGCCCACCCGGAGGCATCTCCCCAAGTCCTTTATGCTTTGTCGTGGTGGTAATGAAATAGCTGACGTCTGAGCCTCGTGCCTGTCCTGAGTCACACTGGTCAGCTCTCCAGAGGGAACAGGAACGAACTGGAGATGTTGGGTTGCAGGCTCTGAGTCTGGGCCATTGGTGAGTGGCCTGGGTCCCCATTTCCATTCCAGGAAGACGAAACTCCAAAGTCCCCACCCCTTCATCCATTGATCATTCTTGGTACCTTTGCCAAACTCCTGCTGTTGGGCTCCAGCTTTGATGTCTTCTTCAGCTGCTCCCGGGCACAGCCAAGAAGATGGGGGAGGAGGAGCTAGACGTGGTGCTTGCTTGTGCCCCGAGCTGCTCCAGGCCAGTAGCGATGCTGGAGGCCCTGTTTGTTACATCCTTTTTAAGTGTCAGGCACTGTGCTGAGCACCTCACGGGCATCATCTTCACAATATGGTTATAAGCTAGGACCGTTCTTAGTCCCATCATACAAGTGAGGAAACTGAAACACAGAGAGGTTAACTGCCCTGCCCAGTGTCAATCAGCCAGCAAGTGATGGAGCACAGAGTTCAAACCCAGGCAGGTTCCAGCCAGGGCCCAGTGCAGAGCCTGAGGGGCCAGAGACCCCCACCCTCTGTGGACCGGGATTTGGGCCTCATTGCTCCTTGTGGGTTTTGGCCTGAAGGGATGTACCTGACCCCATTCACCACCCCGTGGGGTTTGAGGTGGAGAAACAGGCACGGGATGGGTCAGTCCCAGGGCTGGGGTCCCCTTGGTTGAGGCCATGGGAGGGGTCCCACTGCAGCATGCCCATCGCCTCAGCCCTTGTCTAAGTGGCTGGAGTTTCCAGGAGAGCTGAAAGGAATCAGGAAGCTGGACAGTATCCTGGGAGCCCCAGGCAGGCAAGGGGAGGATACTGATATTTCTCAAACTCCTGCTTTGAGCCAAGCCCGGCGCCAGGTGCTTCACAGCTCTTATCTGCCAGACTTTCCCAACTTTGCGGCACGTTGTGCCCCCAATCAATGTCCCCAAGGGACAGATCCCCTTGCCACAATTGTGCATGACCAGGACCACAGATTTGGGCGGGAAGGGCTCTCGGAGGAGGCCGAAGCCCTCATTTTACAAATGAGGATGCAGGAGCCCAGGGAGGGTGAGTGGCCCTTGGGGTCACCCTGCCGGGACCCAGGAGACCTGAACCCAGCTTTCTCTCTGCATTCAGTGCTGTCTCCACAATGCAGTGGCCCCTTTCCCCCTGGGATGGGGTCCCTCCTTTTCTCGATTTCCCAGCACCCTTCCTCTGAGCAAACTGGGGAAGCGGCCCCCTCCCAGAGATGGGACTACTCTCTTCACCCGCTTTGTCCCAGCTGCCTGCCACCCCAAACCCCACCTCCCCCGCAACCCCTGGCCCCGCTGAGTCGGGAGGGGGCTCGCGTAGGCCCAGGCTGAGCAGCGAGTGAGCATGTCGAGCTGTCGGACGCTGTGAAGTCAGTGCACCAACTGGTGACCCAGCCCCCGCCCCCCTCCCTCTCCTCGCCCGATTTTGTACATAAAGTGACATGAGATGCAACATGTGCGTATGTGTGTGTGTGTATGATATATGTCATGGTGTTTGTTACTTTTTTGTTTTTGTAAATTTGAATGTTCAAAATAAACATGATGTTTACTCTGAGGCTCTTCTTGCAAGGGTGGGGTACCCTGGGGGGCACCGGGCAAGAGGGAGGCAGCTACTTGGGGCAGGGAAGGAGGCAAAGATAAAGGAGGTACCCCCTTGGTGCCCCAAAGCCTCACCCAACCCCACTTAGGGCCCCCAACCTGACAGGTTGTGCAGGTCCCTTTCCCAGGATGTGTGCAGGAAGGATGTAAAGAACACAAGTCCCACATGGAAAGTGTCCCAGTTCTGATAACTGGGCTTTGGCCTCATTCCTGACACCCCATCCCCACCTGGTGCCCCAGTTCTGGGAAACAAGTCCCAGACTTGTTCCCTGAGACTCAATCTGCCTGAGTCACTTGCCTGGACCCCCAGAGTTTGCCTCCCTTGGGGTCCTGGGGAGACAAGGGGAGGAGAGAGGGAGGGGCTCTGTTGTGTTTCAACCTGTGCCCTCCCCACCATCTGCCTGGACTCCCCTGACACGTTTGGCCCCTAGACTGGAACCTCGGACCAGTGTCAGGATCCGCTTCCCCTACCACCTCTCTAGCACCCACCCCATCCCTGGGAGGTCTTGATCTATTCCCAGCCCGCCCTGTCAACACCATCTTGGGGGCACAGCCTCCACCCTCCTGCTCCATCTCTGCTCCTGGTTGGACCTTGTCCTCAAATGCCAGAGGGCCACTGAGGGGTCAGGGGTCACACCAGCAGCATGGTCCCTCCCAGACTTTTCTGAAGCTCTCCAAACCTCCAAGATGAGGGAATTCACCCCATGGAGACCAAGGGGCACAGCTGGAAGCAGGCACTTCCAACAGGAAAACCGCCTATGAAGTCTACTGAGTTATCTGAAAAATTCGTGTGCCTTCTTCATCCTACTCCAGAATGAATCCAGATTTGTTTTAAAATAAATATGTTTTTAATTACCACTGAGCAAAATTAAGCCACAGGCAGATCTGCCTTGTTTATCCTCTCTTGCGCTGAGTTACTTACAAACACCCTCTCTCCCTCTGTCCCACTCAGCTGGCAACGTCCCGCCCTGGTTAAATCCCGCTGTCCACCTGCTTCGCGCCAGCACCTGCACCGCTGAATGCTGTTGCGCAAAAGCACACAGCTCTGATGTGTGTTGACTCTCATTTTAAATTCACAGCTGGAGATCTTCGAGGGTCGTCGTTTCTCGCTGCCCTGTAGTCTTTTTTGTTTTTTTTTTTTTTGAGGAAGATTAGCCCTGAGCTAACATCTGCTGCCAATCCTCCTCTTTTTGCTGAGGAAGACTGACCCTGATCTCACATCCGTACCCATCTTCCTCTACTTTATATGTAGGACACCTACCACAGCATGGCTTGCCAACCGGTGCCATGTCCGCACCCGGGATCCGAACCGATGAACCCCGGGCCACCGAAGCAGAACGTGTGCACTTAACCGCTGCACCACCGGGCTGGCCCCTGCCCTGCAGTCTTAGCACACTGTCCCTGGTGAGGGCTTGCTCTCCAAAATAGCTAAACATCAGATCCTCTCTCTCCTCAAACCGCCTACAGCCTTCCACCCCAGCCTTGCACACTCAAGGGTGACCTTGCCTCATAGTCCATTGAGGGAACAAAACCATCATCACCTCAACACCAAATCTGCCCACAAACCCGCACTGTCCCTCCTGCTCCAGCTTCCCTCCTGCCACGCAGAGTGCGCTGCCCTCTCCTACTAGACGCCCTTGTGTCCTGGATCCCCACCCCCCTCGCCTTCTCAAAAACTTCTCTCCCGAATGATCAACTTCTCCTTGTCTGTTATTCCAACAGCTATGCGAATATGCCCTAGTGTCAAACAAAATCACCCATCCAGAACCAGCCTCCTCCTCTAGCCACCACCCACTTCTTTGCTTCCTTCTCTGCAAGACTTCTTGAAAAAGCAGGTGTGTCCCCAAGGGTCCCCAAGACCACCCTCATGTTTGATGATTCACTAGAAGGACTCAGAGAACTCAGAGAAGCTGTTGCACTCGTCGTTATGGTTTGTTACAGCAAAAGGATACAGGTTAAAAGCAGCTAAGGAAAAAGGCATACAGCGCAGGGTCCGGGAGAGACCCGGAGCCAGCTTCCAGAAGTTCTCTCCCATGCAGTTGTGTGGACCATGCTTCATTCTCCCAGCAGTGTTGTGTGACACACGTACAGAAAATTGTCAGCCAGGGAGGCTCCCAGAGCCTCAGTGTCCAAGGTTTGTAATGGGGGTCAGTCACATAAGCATGAAGCACCCACATGAGTGACATTAACCACACAGTCTCCAACCCCCACCCCCAGAGGTCAAACTGATAAGCATGACCTAGAGCCCCAGGCAAATAAAAACAGGTGTTTTCCATATATCACTTTGTTAGCATAAACTCTCTGATATGGCCCAAGGTACACAAAGACACTCTTATCAGGCTAGATCTCCCAAGGGCTCAGAGGTTATCCTCCAGGGCTGGTCAAGGTCCAGTCCTTTCTTTGGAATGTGCAGGGTTTGAGCCCCCTGAGCCCGCTGAGTTAACCCTTCACTGCACATGGGGTCTATAGTCTTTGTTGCAACTTGCTCCCTCTCTCATGCAAGCCTTGGCCAGTTCCCTCTCAACTGCTGCCCCCACCACTCTACTGCGATCACTCTTGTCAAGGCCAACAGCAACCTCTGTGCTACAAAACCTCATGGCCTGGCCTCGGTCCTCATCTGAGCTGAGTCCTCAGCCGCATTTGATGCGTAGTTAGCCACTTCTTCCTTCTTAAAAGTTTTTCTTCTCTTGCTTTCCAAAACATGCCTCCTCCTGGCTTTCCCCTCTGCCTCAGTGGTTCTCAAACTTTAGCCTGCATCACACTCATCTTATTGAAGCACTGATTTCCAGGGGCCGGCCTGGTGGTGCTGCAGTTAAGTGCGCACTTTCCACTTCGGCAGCCTGGGGTTCACCGGTTCGGATCCCACAGGCGCAGACCTAGCCAGGCTGTGGCAGGCATCCCACATCCCACAGTAGAGGAAGATGGGCACGGATGTTAGCTCAGGGCCAGTCTTCCTCAGCAAAAAGAGGAGGATTGGCAGCAGATGTTAGCTCAGGGCTAATCTTCCTCCAAAAAAGAAAACAACAAAGCCCTGATTTCTGGGCCCCACCCCCAGAGTTTCCAAGGCAGTGGGGCCTGATGTTCCGCATTCCTAACAAGTGCCAGGTGATGCTGTGGCTGCCGCTCCCCGGAATGCACTTTGAGAGCCACCGCTTAATTTCAGTGGCTGCTCCTTCTCAGGCTCCGTCTGGTTTCCCCCCATCTCCCTGACCTCTAAACGCTGCAGCGCCCTGGGGCATAGTCCTGGACCTCTCTATTCTTTCCCTTTAGACACTCTCCCTAGGAAATCTCATCCAGGCACGTGGCTTTAACTATCACCTGATGACTTTCAAAACAATGGCTCCTTCCTAGACCTCCCCCTCAACTCCACATCTGTATGTCCAGGTTGCCTAATAGGGGTCTCAAAATTAATACATCCAAAAGGAAACTCCTGATCCCCTCTACTTCTCTCCCAGGCTTCCACTTCTCAATAAATAGCTCACCACCCCTAGTTGCTCACATTAGAAATGCAAGGATTATCATTGACTTCCCGCTCTCTCTTGCCCATCCTGGTCTACCCGTCACCTTCTGGCCCTACCACTGACACGTCTCCAACTTGTTCACTCCTCTCCACGCCTTCTGCTGCCACTCCATTCCAAGCCACCATCATCTCTCAATTGTACAACTGCACTGGCCTCTCTTAGAATCCATTCCCTATGCAGCATCCAGAATGATCATGTTTCAATCAAAATATTGTCATTCCCCTCCTTAAAACTCTCCAAAGCTTTCCAGTACACTTAGACTAACTCGTGCCCTTTCCCTGACTTAAAAAGCCCTACGTGATCTGGCCCTGCCCACCTCTCAGATCTCATGCAGCAACTCTCTCCCTTTCTCCCATTACTCTTGGGACACACAGGCCTCTGTCTTTTCCTCAAGCATGCCAGAGTCAGGGAATTTGCATGTGTTGTTCCCTTAGCCTGGAATCCACCTGCCCCTAGTTCTCAAGAGACTTGCTTCCTCTTGTCATTCAGGCTTCAGCCTGTCAGGCAACAATCACAGAAGTTTAACTGGCCCTCCAGCCTTAAGTAGCTGCTTGGTTGCTCTCTGCCGTTCACCACATCCTCTCCATCACCAAAGACCTGGGAACTAAGCCCTTCCCACTCATCCGGGATGCAAACCTTTTAGGTCACCTGCTCTATCAACCTCTTTAACTCTTTCTACAGCATGCACCTCTCTTCGATAATGATCTTGTTGACTTATTATTAATTGTAGGTCACCTGGAGTGTTAGCTCCATGAGAGAAGGGATCCTATTTGTCTTTTTCACCACTGTATATATCCAACACCGGGCACAGAGTAGGGCTTACTACATATCTGCTGAATACTAATAACTGATACATTGAAGCCTTGCTCTATGCCAGGCACTCACTGCTCTGAGCCCTTGATATAGCTTAGTTTATTTAATCCTGAGAAGGAAGTACTGTGAGACAACAGGCACAGAAAAGTGAAGTCACTTGCCAAGGTCACGTGGCTTGGAAGTGTCAACATTGCGATTTTAGTCCAGTCTGACTCCAGAACAAGCACTCAAATGCTACACTGTGTAGTTGGTGATTTCAGATTCCCCTTAGTCCCTCAGCGATGTCAAAACACTGTTTTGAGAAATAAAGGTGGATGTAGGAGATTTCTGTTGCAGACCAACTCTCCCACTGAGAAAATGTAGAAATTAAAATATCCATGGAAGGCATCAGAGAAGTACCAAGATAGGTGAGAGTTGAGTGACAAAGATCCCATAGAGGAGAGAAGCTCAGAGAAGCGAGCCTGACTTTGGGGCTACAGTTTTCCTCTTGAGGCTCCTGTTTATCCACAACAAATGGCTAAGTTGAGCGAAGAGCAATAGTTGAGCAGCTGGTTAATATGTTCAAGAAATTATATCATAGGTTGAAGTAGGGATTCCAGCTAAAAATTGTAGTTCAGGACAA